AAAGTAAAGATGTCACAAATAAATACTTCAAATCAATTTACCTGTCGCTGTTGTTGTTGCTGTTGCTGCCATTGTTAGTGTTATTTTTATAACACAAATAAACAAAAACAGATAAAAACTTTGTTGTTAAATCCTTAATGTTTATAAATAACTACTTTTTGTTTAAATATAAACAAACAATATAACTTTTATAAATATTATTAACTTTTATACACCAAGCAATATTTATATACACCAAGCAATATTTTTTTCATTGTTGATATTATCAAAAATAATAATACTGAACTATATAATTTTGAACTAAAAACTATATAATTCGAAATATTACATATAAATTAATAAATTAATAAAAACTACCCTTATGAACCTACCCTTAGGTTTAAATTGTAAAATGATATTATATTATAAATAATAACTCTTCAAAAGATAATCACATACTTAAATTTACTTAACTTAAAAGATAATTAATTAAACTTTAGATAATTAACTTAATTTATATCTAATTATATCTTAATTAAACAAAGAAAAATTAAACAAAGAAAAATTACTTAAATGCTCTGATCTTGCTTTCTTTCTGTAGACAATTTCCGAAACACAGTTCACACACAACTTCAATTCCCGAAACACAGTTTAGGAATATATCCTCTCCAAATATTATTAGGCTATATTCAAATTAACTGTTTAAAAGCTGATAGGACCTATAATACAAATCATTATTGATTGGGGTATTAAAAAGATTGTAAATGTGTTAAGAAGGTTTCTATAATAATGCACAAAAACAGCATGTAACTGTGTAGTTTCATAACATTAAGATTAATACATGCTATTAAACTAAAATTAAAGATAAATTGTGAATTAATTAAAACCCACAACTTGTGATTAGCTGTGGCACTAAAACTCAAAATACGAAAATTTTGTTATTCAATTTAAAAACTTTTGAACAAATAAATTTGTTAAAATAGAAACAAAAAAAGCATGTGTAAAGTTAATAAAAAGTTTTTAAAAGTAAAATAAAATTTATTAAGTCTAGTCTGTAATCTTTTGAAAATCACCACCAGACAATAATACTGTACTAAATAATTAGATTCATATAAAACATAATCAAACACCTAGCATAAAATTATATAAAAACAATAAAAAATAAAAAAACTTGTATTTACTTATATTTAGGATTAACTTACTTATATTTACTTACTTATATATTAGGTCATTGTCAACTTCTTCAAACTTAAAAAGCCTGTTGAGATACAATTTCAGTACGTCATCTGTAATACACAACATGTTTCATTACCTTTTTTCTAAATTCTAAACAGGTTTGAAAAAATTACAAAAGATACATACTATTTATAAATAAAAGTTCTTTAATTAAATTATTTATAACAATTATAATATCCATTTCTGAGATTTATAAAATTTAAATTGGAAATACGGAAAACTCTACCGCTTGCACATCTACAATGCTTCATGCATTTTTAGGTGTAAGAATCCCAAATGGCTCATAAATTATTATAAGGAGTATAATACTATTTTGATGGTTTTCTTAATTCTGCCATTGTTGCTCATTTGGTTCAGAATGTTCCAAACAGGGGCACTTTAAAATAGCTGTAAACACTGTCTATGCTTTAAGTCAATTTTTTTTACAAATTTAAAAATGAATTAAGTACTATAAACTATAAAACACAAAAAACCATCGTCATCACCAAGTTCTCTAAACCTATCATTCACTAATATTCATGGTCTTTGAAGTAACTTTTCTTCTGTTGAGTCTTATCTCTTGCAGAGTTCAACAGACCTACTTGCTCTTTGTGAGACTAATTCAAGTCTCATCTTGTGATCTTAGTGTTGATGGTTATTTTCCTTTAACTTGCAAAGACTCTCATAGTCCCATGCTTGGCCTGGGTATTTATATTTGTAAAAACTCACCAATTGGCTGGGAAACTAGATTTGAATCCACAGACTATTCTTTTATGTGCTTTTGTTTAGCAGCACTTCACTCGATTGCCTTTCTTTTTGTTCTATATTGCTCTCCTTCATCTCAAGACTGCACTCTTTTTGATGTTATTTCTAATCAAATTGATAAATCTTTCTCTTTACCCATCAGTCAATATTGTTGTTAGTGACTTTAATAATACACATTACACTGAATGGCTTGGCTTTAGTGTAATTGACTCAGGCGTTTAAACCCATAACTTTTGCCTTTCTAAATCCCTAACTCAAATAGTCAAATTTCCAACTCGCTCTCCAGACAATTCAAATCATTTACCTTCTCTACTCAACTTATGTCTTGTTCCTGATCCTAGTCAGTGCTCAATTTCTCCACATTCACCCTTATGTGCTTCTGATCACGATTTGATCTCTCTAAAATTATTATCTCAATTTTCTTCATCATCTAAATCCCCCTATCATAGTACCTCTTACAACTACCTTAAAGCTGAATGGGACTCTTTCCGTGATTTTCTCCATGACGGCTCTTGGGTAGAAATATTTTGTCTTCCTGCTGATAAATGTGCCTCTTACATAACTTCATGGGTTAAGGCTGGCATGGAATTTTTTATTCCCTCTTGACAATTCTCATGTCATGCCTCACTCTTTTCCATAGTTTTCCTCACATTGTGCTGCTGCAATTCCCAATCAAGACTACTACTTCCATATCTATCAGCAAAACAATTTTCCAGAAAACAGACGCCTGTTTATTACTGCTAGAAACCATTGTAAAAAGGTTTTGTCTAACGCCAAAGCCCGCTATTCTCAGGTTATGAAATCTTGTATTTCATCACAAAAAATAGACTCTTGTGACTTCTGAAGAATCTTTAATAGTATCAATAATAAGGGTAAGTCTGTTATTTCACCTCTCTTGTATGGTTTGGGTTTTATCACCTCACCTAAAGACAAAGCTGAATTGCTTGCTAAGAACTTTTCATCAATATCATCTCTTGATTCCACTAGTTGCATTCTACCTAATATAGCCAACAAACAGGTTGATTCATTGCGTGACATTTGTATCCTCCAACTTCTGTATCTAAAGTGATTTCCTGCTGAGACTATTCTGCAGCTTGTGGTCCGGACAACATATCTGTTATAGTCTTGCAGAAGTGTTCTTCGGAGCTGTCGTTTATTCTTTCAAAACTATTTAACAAGTGGTTATCAGAGTCTTGTTTTCCAGCCTGCTGGAAAGCCGCATCTGTTATCCCTATTTTCAAAAATTCTGGAGAGCGATTTGACTCATCTAACTACTGTCCCATTAGTCTTCTTCCTATCATAAGCAAGGTTTTTGAATCTTTAATTAACAAACACTTAATCTCTTATCTTGAATGTAATAACTTACTTTATGATCACCAATATAGATTTCGATCTTCTTGTTCTATAACTGATTCATAGCAGTTATAAGTGGTTTATTGTGCATTAGATAAAGGTAGAGATGTTAAGGCCATCGCTCTTGACATTTCTTAAGCTTCTGATAAAGTTTGGCATGCTGGTTTTTTCCATAAGCTTTCTTCTTACGGACTTCTACTGTGGCATGAGGCTCACAGTGGCTGGTGAACTTTAATTCAGATAAAACTTAATTTTTTTCAGCGAATCGTTATCTCAATAATTTAGATCTTACTATATTAATGAACGGTATTGTACTTAATGAGTCATCTACCCTTAATCTTCTAGGATTAACTCTTAATTCCAATTTTTCTTGGAGACCATATATCAAATCCGTTGAAAAATTAGCATTTGCTAAGGTTACATCTCTTTATTGAGCTTGACACTTTCTTACTCTGGATTCTATTCTCTATCTCTATAAATCTCAAATTCGTCCTTGTATGAAAAACTAATGCCATATCTGGGGCAGATCTTCTAAAGATGCCACTTTTAGACAAGGTGCAAAAACACATTGTAAGCATAGTTGGATCTGCTCTTACAGTCAACCTCCAACCATTATAACATTGTTGTAATGTTGTTTCTCTTTGTTTCTCTTTTCTACAAATACTATTATGGGCACTGCTCTAAAAAGCTAGCATCTCTTGTGCCATCTACTAAATTTTATTATTGTGTTATTCCTCATTCAATTAAGTCTCATCCTTTTTCTGTGACTGCTTCTAAGTGCTCAAAAAACTTTTATTCCTCTAGTTTTTTTCCTTGAACATCAGTTCTTTGGAATTCGCTTCCTTCATCTTGCTTTCCTGATTCATATAATTTCCATCTTTTAAGTCGTTTGTCAATTGTCATCTTGCTCTACTTCATCTTTTCTCTTCCAGTAACTTCCAACTCTAATAGTTGTTGCTTGCAGACTTGTTGGAAGCAAAGATGTTAAAAAAAAAAAAGCCTTATAAATGTAAATATAAAAAAATTAATTTTATTATTGTAATTATATCTAAGAAGCATTCTGTAACAAAGAATTATTCACATATTAGAATATTTTAGTGCTTCAGCCCCCTTACTACAAATTATTTCCACTAGTTCCTTGATTTCCTCCATTGTTTTCATTGTTGAAGTAGCAGATAAAAAAAAGCATTTATAAGGCGTGTTAATAAACTATACTCTAAATGGTTGCTTAGACATTTGATAAAGCTGTCAACATAATATATATTTAGCCAATTACATATTTTGCCAATATAAATGTTGGTATTTTGAAAAAGTTAATATAAGTGCTTCGATATCTGTATTGCCACGATATTTTATGTAGTTAACAAAATTTTTAAAGTTTTCCTGCATTACTCATCTTTTGTGTGCGATAGAATTGCGATGTCATTACTCATCTTTTGTGTGCGATGGAATTGCGATGTCATTACTCATCTTTTGTGTGCGATGGTTTTAAACAACTTCTGTATAACAGTTTTATTGCTTTCAATTCTGCTTTCAATATTGCTTTCAATTCAGCTCCATGCAAGCAAGTTGGTAAACAGAACCTTTCACTTTGTATCTCTTGATTTATTGTCATTGTTTTTAAGTGTCTGTTTGCTTTGTAGACAAAAAATGCTCACTAAATGTGTGTATTGAGTGTTCCCATAGTTTAACACATTTGCTATTTCATTCTAAGTTGCCAACAATACTGTATTTAGAGTATACTCAACAAAGCTAATCTGATTCCAGATGCCAAATAAAATGCAAATTTGTACAGTTTTTCTAATTTTGTTTGAATCTTATGAGCAACCAAGTTCAAACTAGTACACTGCCAAATTGAATCAACATTCACTAACATCTAGGATATTTTAGCAAGCTTGACCCATATATCAGTAATAGGTCACTGGGATTTATTGTTGTCACTAACTGTTTTAATGTGATAGAATTTTCATTTTTGGGCTCCCAGTAGTATGTGGTACCATTTTAAATTCATGGTCTTAACTTATATTTCTTTAATTCAAGATAATTAAAAATAGAAAAAAAACTAAATAAATATAAAATGCTTCTTTTATATTTTATATTTGTTATGGTATTTAAGAGTTTAAATTATAATTACACGATTCTTAGTTTTGAAAAAAATACAGCATTCTATATGCCTTAAAATAAACACTTTCTGTTGTGTTTCACAATGAAAAGTAGAAGCAAAGTTTAATCAAAAGTTTAATCAAAACAATGAGTTAAAAAAGTAGTTGAAAATAAATAAACTTTTTAACTTAAAAAAAAAGTAAATTTTGTTAGAATATAATAAAGAAAGTTAAACAAAATAACTATAAACAAAGTAGATATGATTTCTGTAAACAAAGTAGATATGATATGAAAATAATAAATTTTCTTGTCAGCGTTCCATGTTTCTATAAATAATGATGATTGAAAAGAATATAAAATTTTTATCACTTTTTTAAATATGAGTTTTGAATATTTTTAGTTTATAAAAACTAATGATTTAGCTAACAACATACTAATGTACAGCTAACAACAGCAAAATTTTTTTCTGTTTTTTTTTTTTATTTTAATTTTTATTCTATTAATGTTGGAATTTATGGTTATGGAATTTTCAAATTGGTGCATTAGTTTGAGTAATGCCATACAGTTTGACAAGTGTGGTTGACACTGGTCAAATGGTTCAGCATTAAGTTTGGGTATGGCAGTGATAGTAGTATTTTTGTCATATGCGAAACTTCTAATAAATTATACATCAGTGTAAAAAAATATAAAGTAAATGTAAATTTACTATTTGTAATATGCAATTTGCTATTTCATTCTAAGTTGCCAACAATACTGTATTTAGAGTATACTCAACAAAGCTAATCTGATTCCAGATGCCAAATAAAATGCAAATTTGTACAGTTTTTCTAATTTTGTTTGAATCTTATGAGCAACCAAGTTCAAACTAGTACACTGCCAAATTGAATCAACATTCACTAACATCTAGGATATTTTAGCAAGCTTGACCCATATATCAGTAATAGGTCACTGGGATTTATTGTTGTCACTAACTGTTTTAATGTGATAGAATTTTCATTTTTGGGCTCCCAGTAGTATGTGGTACCATTTTAAATTCATGGTCTTAATTTATATTTCTTTAATTCAAGATAATTAAAAATAGAAAAAAAACTAAATAAATATAAAATGCTTCTTTTATATTTTATATTTGTTATGGTATTTAAGAGTTTAAATTATAATTACACGATTCTTAGTTTTGAAAAAAATACAGCATTCTATATGCCTTAAAATAAACACTTTCTGTTGTGTTTCACAATGAAAAGTAGAAGCAAAGTTTAATCAAAAGTTTAATCAAAACAATGAGTTAAAAAAGTAGTTGAAAATAAATAAACTTTTTAACTTAAAAAAAAAGTAAATTTTGTTAGAATATAATAAAGAAAGTTAAACAAAATAACTATAAACAAAGTAGATATGATTTCTGTAAACAAAGTAGATATGATATGAAAATAATAAATTTTCTTGTCAGCGTTCCATGTTTCTATAAATAATGATGATTGAAAAGAATATAAAATTTTTATCACTTTTTTAAATATGAGTTTTGAATATTTTTAGTTTATAAAAACTAATGATTTAGCTAACAACATACTAATGTACAGCTAACAACAGCAAAATTTTTTTCTGTTTTTTTTTTTTATTTTAATTTTTATTCTATTAATGTTGGAATTTATGGTTATGGAATTTTCAAATTGGTGCATTAGTTTGAGTAATGCCATACAGTTTGACAAGTGTGGTTGACACTGGTCAAATGGTTCAGCATTAAGTTTGGGTATGGCAGTGATAGTAGTATTTTTGTCATATGCGAAACTTCTAATAAATTATACATCAGTGTAAAAAAATATAAAGTAAATGTAAATTTTTTTAATTTATATTGGTTGCATATATCTTTGAACAAAAAAATATTTTTAACTAGATAATAGTAATCATTGAAAATTAATTAATTTTAAAAATTATTAAACCTTTAACTATTAAACATTGTTTAGGTGTTCCTGCAAAGCCAGGAGAGAACTTTATTGAAAATTTGAAGAATCCTGCAAGAATGCTTCCTCAGCCATTCAAACCACCAATCCTTGAACAAAACACCTTGTTCTTTTTACCACCAACAAATGTGTAAGTTACTTTTTATGACCAACAAATGTGTAAGTTATTGTTTAAAGTTTCTTAGTTGATAAATTACTTAATATGTTTAAACTTGTTACTTATGGTTCTTGTTTTTGGTCAAGTTTTTAGTTTTAAGAATTTCTTTGTCATGTTGGTTCTCACTAATCTTTTCATAATATTTTTTCACAAGTGTTTGTTTCTGAGTATGTTCCTCTGGAACTTAAGCACCACTCTTCTTCATATCCTGTAACTTCAGGAGTTCCTCAAGGTTTGATTCTTGGCCCTATACTCTTTTTAATTTACATTAACAATCTTCCAGAAATTCTTACATCTAAGGTGGCATTGTTTGCTTGTTGATGCTACCATTTATTCTTGTCTTGATAAGAACCCAACACTCGCAGATTGCTTTGAAAGGGCATTTAAGCTTGAAAAGGATCTCACTTCTGCTCAGCATGAGGCTCTCAGTGGCTGGTGACTTTGACTCAGATAAATTTCAATTTTTTTCAAATAATCATTATATTAATAATCTAGACATTTATGAACAGTAACGTACTTGATGAGTCATCTACCCTTTATCTTCTAGGATTAACTCTTACTTTTCGATCTTTCTTGGAAACCATATATCAAAGCAATTGCAAAATTAGCATCTGCTAAGGTTGCATCTCTTGATCGCACAATTACCACTTTCTTAACCTGGATTCTGTTTTTTATCTCTATAAATATCAAATCGGATCTTGTATAGAATACTGTTGCCGTATCTGGGTTAGATTTTCCAATGATACCCTTTCTCTTTTAGACAAAGTGCAAAAACACATTGTAAACATAGTTGGACCTGCTCGTAGTGTAGTAATCTTGCTTCCTTTTCTCTTTTCTATAAATACTGTAATGTGCACTGCTCCAAAGAGCAGTGCCATCTACTGAAATTCATTCTCCTGTTCTGAAATCAGTCTCATCTTTTTTCTGCAATCTATTAAGTTGTCTATAAATTGTCATCTTGCTCTATAAATTTTATCTTTTTTCATACAGTAACTTCCAACTTTAATAATGGTTGCTTGCAGCCTTTTTGGAAGTGAAGATGATGAAAAAAACAAAAATAAAAAAAATAATATTCCATTACAAAATTCAAAAAGATAAACTGCAAGCCAAATCCATAGATAGCTGCCATACATAGCTAAATCCATACACAGCTAAATCCATACATAGCTTCCATACATAGCGTCACCTGGAAGAAAGAAAAAAAGTCAAAAATGAACAATATTGAATAAAAATCTCTATTTTTTCTCAAACTGCTGATACAAATATGACCAACCACCAAATAATATATCAAATAACAATTGATTTCATGTTAACAAAGCAATTTAACCATAAATAGTATACTTTTGATAATTTACACAATGAAAACACTAATGATTAAGTTATCCTGGAGAAACTTGGACAACTAGTTTAAAGAGGTTCACAAAGTAATCAAGAAACTTTGAAAATATACCTTTTAAGCAGATTTATTTTGAAACTAAAGCAATTAAAATCAAAAAATCTGTAATAGAATAATCAATTGTAATGAAAATATATACTTATAATAAATTTTGATTGGAATTTATTTTTAATTAGACAAATTTGCTATTTTCTATTTTATTGAGTAGCTGTAGCCTGCAATACTTTTACCAGCTTTAGAGATATATAAGTTTTAACCAGAATATAATAGTCTGCAGGGTAAGCAAAGTCTTTCAGTGAACACTAAGGATTACAGAAAGTTTGAATTAAGCCTTCTAAATTTTTAATTGAGCAGCAATGACATCTTTTAAAAAGTACATAATTTCATTTAAAATTATATTTCCTCTCTCCTTAGTGAGATGAGAAGCCATAGTATTCAATATATATATATATATATATATATATATATATATATATATATATATATATATATATATATATATATATATATATATATATATATATATATATACTATATATATATATATATATATATATATATATATATATATATATATATATATATATATATATATATATACAACAAAAGAAACATTAAAAATACATGACCAAAAACATAATTATTTCTCTTAAAAATGTTTCTTTCTCTTAAAAATGTATATTAGGGTGTCCCAAAAAACAACTTTTTTGAAATTAATCTGCTCTCACCCCCTAAATGTGTACTATCTAATGCAAAAGCACTAGGTTTAAATTTTTTTTGAATAAAAAATATTTTAAGGGGTCCCTCAAGACCCTCGAATATTTAATGGGTCCCTAATATTTTCAAAAAAAAAGTTTTTCAAAAATATGTCAACCTGGTACTCAAATGAAGCAAAATTATATAAAAATTAAAAAATAATATTCATTTCGAAATATATGCCATGACCATTGTCGTGAAAGTACCTTTCGCGACAATGGTCTTAATCGAGATGATGGCGATTATATAACGATGTCATTTTGGAAACCCATGTTTAAATTCTTACATCACAAAAAACTCACTTAAATAACTCTCTTAAAAAGAAGCTCTTACGAAGAACATTGTTTCGTTAATTTAAACAGTTTTTATATAATATAGCGGTTTTGTTTTTTTATAACGGTTTTTATATACTTGATAACGAGGGTATCCATATTCCCTCGAAATATCGTAAAAATAAATATAATTTTTGCAAATCAATCCATAAAAAGAAGTTTTATTTTAAAATATTTATACAAATAAAATCTATTGAAGATGTCAACATTTAAAATATATATATATATATATATATATATATATATATATAAATATATATAAATATATATATATATATATATATATATATATATATATATATATATATATATATATATATATATATATATATATATATATATATATATATATATATATATATATGTATATATATATATATATATATATATATATATATATGTATATATATATATATATATATATATGTATATATATATATATATATATGTAATTGTATATATATACATGTGTATATATATATATATATATATATATGTATATATATATATATATATATGTACTTGTATATATATACATATGTATATATATATATATATATATGTATATATATTTATATATATATATATATATATATATATATATATATATATATATATATATATATATATATATATATATGTATATATATATGTATATATATATATATATATGTAATTGTATATATATTTATATATATACATATGTATATATATATATATATATATATATACATATACATATATATATATATATATATATATATATATATATATATATATATATATATATATATATATATATATATATATATATATATATATATATATATATATATATATATATGTAGACGAAGGTCATTGTATGGAGCATCAGAACTGTTTGGAGCTTAAGACCAGATTTTTGCATAAATTGTATTAATGAAAAGACAGATACGACTAAAACCTTGTAGTACGTATGCTGTAAGTTTGAATTGTCTATGTGGAACAAATAGATTTTAAGACAGTATACTCCTTTTGCCATCCACCTGGCACAATAATAGGCACCTGGAGGACTGAAATGAGTCACATTATAATTTTCACCCAATGTGATTAGGGTCACTTGGGTACCCAGGTAATCTTTTCATGGCTTATTTTTATGGGAGAGTTGATTCCTAAGAAATTCTGACATATTTTTCTTCTTTTGGTTCAGCCATACACATTCACCAAGTGTAAGATTTGACTTCAATGTCAGAAGTCTCAATTGTACTATATTGGGTAGTGTCAATAAGTTTCCAGTGTTCCTTAAATCAACGAAATATTCCAATCTGTGGTCCTGAAGACTGGAAAAACTGGTCAAATACTGCAGTTAAAATAATTTCAAGGATATGATGCCTGCAGGCTAATAATAGTAAACCTTTATCATATGCCTGCTGAATGACAGTAATTGCACCGGTGTGAACACCAGTGTTGGAACTTGTTGTGTCAAAACATAGACCGCCAGCAAATCTGGAACATCTTTCCATTTTTCCAATACTTCAACAACTGAGTTTCCCATAAGCTCACCAGTACCCATGGAAAGTTTAGGAATGGCCAATAGTTTTTCAACATTAAAACCTGATTTAACAATTAGCATCCTGTCAGCCAAGTTTCCATATGTGTCTGGTAGAATTTTACTGTCAAAATGGGCAACTAGGGGGGTATTTGGCACAAATGTTTCTTGAATGTTTTGAACTATAGATTTTCTAATTGTTTTACGAGCTCTGTATATTGAGCTTGCAGACAGAGTCATATCTTTTATGTCGATTCCAACAGCTTTGAGAACTGGCCCAACAATGTGCATAGCCTGGTTTTTGTACAATCAAGACTAGCAATAAATAATGAACTATCAATAACACTATGTTGTTTGGGTGCTAATTTTTTATTTTGTTTAGTTAGAGTTTCAATAGGGTGGTTTTCTAATATAACGATCTTTTTAGACTTTTGCTGGTAATACTTGCTAAATAGGAGCTCCTCATCACCAGTTTCTTCATATTCTGAATCTGAATTTTTTTCAACCAATCCAGTCTTGATATATTTTTTCAATTCAGTTGCCTTTTTTTTTCAATGGTTTTTTAGAAACATATTCTGTTGAATTTTTATAAGTGTGTCACAATCTGCGTATGCCACATCAAATAGCTTACTCAACTTATTTATCCAATCAGTTTCCAATTTTAACTGTTTTTCAGTTCTTCGAGGCTCGTTCTTTCCTATTTTAACATAAGAGTTATACAATACTTTTAGTTTAGCAATAGCATTCCTTTTTTGTGTCTTTGAACATTGGCAATAAACCAAATTTGTAAAATCTCATCAATAGTATTCGAACAGCTTTGTGAAAGTTCCATTTTGTTTGTTTTCAAGTCATAAAAGAGGCAACGTAAGGACAAGATGAAACGTAAGGACAAGATGAACTGTGGGCAAACAGCTTGAACAACTTAGTTTATCTAAGTTTTTTTATTTTTTATTAACTTAGT